GGGTTGGCTGGGAACCTGTGCCCTAGGGGACTGTCACCTGGAGTGACTGCATGTGGCCTTTCTAGCATGGTGACCTTAGGAGCACACCCTTACAACAGACAGAGAGTGGAAGTCACTGTCTCTGTAGTACCAGCTCTGGGAACTGGCAGTGTCACTTCTACCGTATGCTATTAGTCCCAGCAGGCACCCAGCCCTCCTGAATTCATGAATATGCACCCCACCAGCCAATGGGAAGAATGGCCTGCAGCCAGGCCCCTCACCTGGGGTGACTCCTCTGGAAGCTGCTGCACGCAGCCCCTGCGCTGATGCACTGTCGCTGTCACTGTGAGCATTTGCAGCTCTTACTGAGATGACAAGCATTTCCTCTACATTTTATTCTCCATTCAGAAACAGAAAGGACACTTGCCCCTTAAGTAATGCAACAGCCTTGTCCTAAGGAGAAACTAAAGCTGGGCTACAGCGAAGGTCTGTGCTGAAAGGATCAGCTGACGGCTCATTGACAGTGACTGTCCTCATTTAATCAGCAAGAGATAAAAGCTCCAAAAGCAGAGTTAAATATCACATTCCAAATATTTCAAAATAGAAACGGTGCGGAGGTCAGGAAGACAGCACAGGGCGGCAGCCTCTGGAGGAAGTCACAGCCCTGTTGTGACTGAACTGGTTTCAGAGAAACTTACAAAGTGCCACTTTGGTGCCACAAAACTATTTGGCGTCCCTTCACTTGGGAGGAGAGAGGTTGCGATGTCCCACGGTGCTGCTTCCCTGAGGCACAAGAGGAAGGAAGTTTCCTTAGACAGAGAGGCTACTCACTAAGAGGCTTGCCAGGCAGGCTGGTAGGAAGCCGGCTAGACCAGCAGGAAGGAGGCCCTCTCCCAGCCGGAGGTGGGGCCTGAGGCGGAACAGGGGCTGCCTTTCTCTCCGGGTCTCTCCTGAGAGCCCACTGGACAGCGCTGACCTCCACTGGACTTCTTACCTCCTCCTATGTCTGACTTAGACTCCCACGGGCAGCCGCTGTGAGTGGGACTGCAGTGGGGTTACAGAACACTGGAGGGGTTTTCTGAAAAGCTATTTTCTCTCCTTTTCCTCTTGTCTTACCATATTTAGAGCAATGAAAGCTGGGCACAGAGATGGTGGCATAGGATGGCATGGATATTTTGTGGATTTTTTCTCATTCATTTGTTTTGTTTCTGAGACAGGGTCTGGCTACATAGTGCAGGCTGGCCTTGAAGTGGCTTATGCAGCCCAGGCTGGCCTCCAACTCATGGTGATCCTTCTGCCTCAGCTTCAAGAGTGCTGGGATTACAGGAATGCACCGCCACGCCCTGTTGCATGTGTTTTTAAAATTTTTTTTACTTGCTCGCATCGCTATAGGAGTTATTTGTATAGGTTTGTCTGGCCCTCTGTCAACTACTATAGCTTATTTTCAGAAACAGCATTGAACTGAGAAAAAACATAAGCCCCCCAAATTCACTACTTATGTCTGTCACCCTTTCTCCCATTCTTATAAAACAAGAAACAGAAACAGATACAAAGAACCTATGTTTAAGCCTAGTGCAGTGCCGCATGACTTTGTAACTACTCTCAGCTTTTGGGGAGGCTGAGTCAGGAAGATCACAAAGTTTGAAGCTAGCCTGGGCAACATAGCAAGACCTGTTCTCAAAATATAATAAAAAGGATATAATAAAAAGGATTGGGATGTAGCTCAGTGATGGGGGACTAATGCGTAAGACCTCTTGAGCTCACTCCCCAGTATGGGAAAAAACTAAAGAAAACCTATGTAAAACTATAATAAGTATCTCTGTGGCATTTTACTTAGAAGCTATTGTGATGGTGTCTAGATGTTATTTTGTCCAGACACAATTTTGTCTGAGCTTTACCAGGAATTTGAATAATTTGTGTTTTTTTTTAGGCAAAAGGGACATAGTATTTCACTTTATCTCTGTGCTTTTTATTTTATTTGTGCTAGTTAAGGTAAACTCTAATTTTATGTAGCTAAATATTTTTATTTCTGTTGTGGATTTTTAAAACATTGCTAATAACCTAAATTATAAAACAAATATCTTAATGTAACATTCTGACTGGTAATCTAAATTAAGAGAAAAATATATAGGTACATATAGCAAAGAATGATCATCTCAGATTAATTTGCATAACAAAGCAGAGGAATTGACTTGAAGAGTGGAAATACAAGGACAAGCCGTCCGGGTGCAAGCCGTCTGGGTACAAGTAGCCTTGTGGTTCCGTGGTTCCAGGGCTGGGTCAGCAACACCGGCACTCTTTCCCACAGACCTGCTGGTAACTGACTGCCGAGAGGGTCACCCTGAGACCGTCCTTGTGGCTTTGGAAGAGGAGCTTGCTGCCAGCCACCTATGAGACTAGGACTGCTGTCTTGCAGAAGCATAGAAGGGAGACTGACACCACCAGAGAAACCGCCCCACTCCATGAGCCCAACCAAGAAGCTTCTTACCTTAGCTTGAGAAGGGTGGTCTGCTAGAAAAGAGTGTTTTAAACAAGAAGAGAACCTCCTCAGAGATGCCTTAGCTCCTGCAATTTCAAGCACTGATGCTATGTTGAATTCTTAGGATCCAATCCAAACACTTGTCCTTCATGCCCAGGTCCTGCCTGCTTTCTGACTTTCAATATAACCTTATCAGCTCAGCTTACGCAGGCTGGATGTGTATACTGTGATAGACCACAACTCAGTGAATAACGGTATATGTAAATAAATACACAAAATACAAAACTAAGTATCCATAGTTATATGCGCCTTTAATTACATTTGTTGGATACCTCCATAGTATTAATTCTTTTTCCTGTAGAAAGATTTCTTGATTCTTTTAGAGTACATCTGTACAGGAAAACTTACTCATTCATAATTAATTCTAATTTAAAAACTTCTGGAAACTTATGATAAAAGGGATTATTTTTGATAAACACAGAAAATAGATATACAAACAGCAAAGAAATAGATGGAGTTTCAGGCAACATTTTCACAACATTAAGAGAGAAAGCATCTCTACTATTCAAATATTGCACCAAACAATATTCAACCTCTGTCCACACTGTCACTCAGATTATTAAGGACCTGAGAAATAATTCCTTTTATTATAAGATTCTGTCATGACATATACCAGTAAGTCTGCATTATCAAAGAAAAAATTAGAAAATATATTGTTAGGGCTTCTACCTGAGACCCGTGTATGCATAGTTCTTTCAGAGCGCTTACACTCATCCATAAGAAAAATATGAAATAGATTGTGGAGCTGGAGTTGGGATAAGAGAGCTCCCTGATTCTCCTAGTTATTTCTTGGAAGCATTAATTCTCAGTCATTCCACAGGAAATATAGCGGGGACTCAGTTATTTGGTTTGGCCCAAAACACTAGTCAATAATTATAAAGGCTGGTAAAGCCTGGGGTTCTTGAAACTTTGAGGCTTTGCTTCACAGATAGTTCTGGATCTTTCATATAAAAGATCATTTAAAATAGTTTCTCACCAGCCTGATTCATGACTACTTATAAGACTGAAAATGTTTTGATGTTGGACTTTGGTGGAACATAGTTGGATATGCAGTAAAAATAAAATTTGGTTTCCTCACACTACCACTGTAAAACAGCTAACTATAAACAGTGTTTCACATTAATAATATATTACATTTAGAAAACAGACTATATGGTCTATGTACAATATATTTCATTGCTTGTTTAAAATATTCATGCACAAAGGATAAAAGAACAAAGGGCATACATCACACTGTTTATAGTGTTATTCTGGAAAGTGTAAGTATGAGCATATTTCTCTTCTCTGTTTTTCTTTTCTATATTTTGTAAACATTGGATAATAAACATATATCATTTTGGAAACAAAGGAAAATGGTTAAGATTTGGCTTTCAAAAACTTTAACAATTGAAAATGTTGAGATCTACTGAGTCTGTCTATAGGTTAAGAGTCAAGACTGTGTTGTTTAATATGGTAGCTACTGTCCTCATGTAGATACTTCAAATTATATTCTAATTAATTAACTCAATTCTTCATTCATGCTATCCAGAGACATTCTTCCATAGCCATCTTTCCATCATTCCTGGAAGTTCTGTTTCACAGTCCCAGTGGGGAGTGAGGTGCCAAACCCGCTCCAATAACCAGGAATGGGAGATTGGCTGATGGTCACTGGCACTGGGGTGGGCACCTGCCCCTTGCCATGAACACTGAGAGACTCCTTGTCACTGGTACCTCTTCTGTACTTTACTAACCAAAAGTCTCATAAGCTCAGACACTTTCCTGTAGCCATTCAGTGAGTTAGTACTGAGCAAGAACACATTCCTAATACGTAGCTCTTGCCTTTGTGTCACTGTTATCACCATCTCCAAAAAACTCACACTTCTGCAGGAATATTCAGTTCAATATAATTTATAATGTAGTGTATATCTGATCAAGAGTTGAACCAAGGTAGAGAAGTTCCCCTTCTCTCCACCTAAGGGTGTCACAGATCAAAAACAAACAAACATCCTGGGTACAGTGACAACTCCAGGTAGTAGCTGGTCTGCTCTTCTGGAAATACTTCACACAGACTGTCATGTTTGAACTGGGTCTTAATATTTGTGCATCCAAATTCACAAACCAACATTTTTTTTCCAGTATTCTTAGTTTTTCCAAGACTTCCAGAGAGGCCAGACCCCATTTTGGATATGCAGTTAATCCCTGACAAAATCACTGTTTTTACGTCATGTGGAATAGTTAAATATGTTCAACTCTCTAAAAGTGGACTGATTTTCTTCTTTCAGGTCAGTTCCATATGTGTAAAATAATTTTAAATCTTCAAATGTAACACAATAAACTACAATTTTCAGATTTGGTCACTCATTTTGTTTTTGACTGTATGAAAGAAACTTTCAGATGTACGTAAACAGTTATGTTTCAGCCAGTTGTTTTGAAAACATTGAAATGCAGATTAAGAACATGGAGGTCCCTGTTTACGAATAAATCCTTCCCTATATTTTAACAGATGCGATGCTCTTGGTGGCAGAGCGACTGGAAGGGCCTTTCAACATTGAGTCGGTCATGGACCCCATAGATGTCAAGATTTCTGAAGCCATTATGAACATGCAGGAAAACAGCATGCAGGTGTCTGCAAAGGTATTTGCATTAATAATGTATCCACTAATGTATGTACATAATTCAGGTGCGGTGACCTAAAAATGAAGTAAGGAGATATGTCAGCTGGGATTATAAATTCTAATTGCCAGTTAGCTTTTCCTGTTGAGCCATAGATTTGCTACTCCATTAAAAAAAATGTCTAACAAAATGGCATTGAGCTGCGAGGCAATTTTTTACTTCAAAACTATTCAATCATGACGAAATCATTGACTGCCTAAAAACTTCCTTCAGCCCCAAGTATGCTGACTAATCCCTCACATTTGTGAGCAATTTTCTTTTTCAGTGTTTGAAATTTCTGCACACCTTCACTTTATGTTCTTTCTAGTAACTTCTAATTATATCGTCAGCTGTGTAGACAAAGTGCATGTTCTATATATTCAATTGGAAATAATTCAACATCCCATCTGACTTCCTTTTGAGACTGCAGTATAACATTCATTAATGAATCTTCAGGGGCAAATGCTCCTTTGTGTGGAGTCAAATACTCATTAAAAAAGCAAAAAAGTAGCACATTTTCATAAATCATAGAGACAGGGCTCCCAGGTTTGCAGCTGCAAAACACAAATACCAGGTGCGTGGTTTTCATTTGCCTCCACTCTGTTGAAGATAAACAGGGCCCGCCTGAAGCAAAATTGAGAAGTTTGTAGTGGGTCTCTCGCCTCGCCCTTCGTCACTCCATCTCTGCCACACGGATGGTTGCACAGGCCCGTCTGTTCTCTGTACTAGCCTCCCTCCCGTGAAACACTAACCAACCCTATGTCGGCCCTTCAAACTTGGTGACTGAGCGATTGCATTTTAATTGATAGTCCTTCGCCCTAAAATATGTCAGGCAAAGTGCTGCATGATCAGCTCCCTTCAATTTTTAACACCCTTTGTGAAGAAGATTTCAAATATAATCAAGGAAGAGGGCAGAAATTACAGAGCAGAAGGAGAGCTACGGTCTCCCTGGCTGAGTGTGGATCAAACTAGACCCGGGCTTTCTGGGGTAGGGTGGCAGGGAGTAGGGTAAGAATGAGTCTGGCCTCGGTTTCTTTCTCTGTCTGGGAAATGGCTGAGCTGAGGGTTTCATAGGGCTGTTTCTGGGCTTTAATGAGTTTGGGGTACAATGTGAGAAGGAGCATGCTCTAAATTACCACCATCTGTTGGGGAAAGAGCACATTTGGGGGTTCCATGAAAGGCCATTTTCTTTCATTCCTGTGGAAAAAAAATAGCAAGGCTCTATTCCCCTCAACTCTATTGCCTAGAAACCAATTAATGTTATTTTGAGAGGTCACATATCCCAGCAGTGCTCAGGTAATTAGGGGAGTAGGTGGAAGAAGTACACGATGGCTCTAGAAATAGGACACAAAACACACGTGGACAAAGCACCTGCAGTCTGAGACTGTCACTCACCTCCTCGAAGTCAGGGTGTTTCCACTGGTGTGTGCACACATGTTCAAAGTCATGCATTCTGGTTTTATTCCTTTTGTCCATTTGTTGAAGATATATTCATTGAGAACTCACAATAGACAAGGTTCTCGGTCCTACAGAAGCAAGAGTGGACACGACACGACCCCTTCCCTCATCACATGTGCTTCTTAGTAAGAGACACAGAGGCTGAACAGATGGACAAAACAGAAGGAAATAAGCAAAATAAAATATCAGACAATGAGCGATAATAAAAACAAGCTCTTCCTCCCTCAGCACCTGGACATATTTTGACATAACTTTCTGTCATTTTCCTTTCAAGAAAACTTGAAAAACTTTCTTCTCAATTGGTACCCCGGCTCCCACTCTTGAACCCCCTCAAATCTGTTCTTCATCCAGCAGCCAAAGTATTTCTAAAATATGAGCAAGTTGATATCCCCCAACTTTGCCTTTCAGCAGCTGCAATTGTATCTAGGTGGGATCCATACTCCTGCAAGACCTCACATTTTCCAGCTCTGCCTATCTGCGACTCTGGCTTCTTGGCTCCTGACCTTTGCTACTGTGCACACACATGATTGTTCTCTCAGTTCCCTGAGCACACTCACAGCTTCCTCTGTTTATGTTTTTCACCCCCGCCCCCTGTCAGTAAGTCCCTCTTGAGAGTCTGTGTTATAGCAATTTCTCACAACACCTATTACAGATTTGGAAATACATATTGATCTGTTTGGTACTTGCTCCCCTGACTTCTCTGGTCAGAAACTCCAAGTGGAATTGAGATCACCACCGTGCTGCAGACCACCAGGAACCCAGCCCACCCCTTGGCACATAGAAACTATAGGCCAATACTAGTTGAATGTTTTTTTTAAAAAGGAAATGCAGTAATTAATGAACTCACTCTAAAAAATTGTTAAGAAGTTAACCTATTTCAAAGATTCAGTCATCTAAATTATCCTTGTTAAAAAATATTTGAACAGAAAAATAAAAGTGTATATATTTATGGTATGCATGATCTTTTAAATAATATGTACACAGCAGAATGGCTGAATCAAGCTGTATTAGTCAGCTTTCTGTCACGGCAAAAGCATTTGAGATAATGTAAAGGAAGAAAGGTTTACTTGAGCTCTTGGTTTCAGGAGTTTCAGTTCATGGTCAAGTTGGATTCACTGCTCTTGGATCTATGATGAAGCCAAACATCAAGGTGGAGAGTGTGGCAGAGGAAAGCTGCTTGCCTCATGTCAGACAGGAAGCACACAGAGAAAGAGAGAGAGAGCTCAGAGACAAAGCACTCCCCAGTGACCAACTGCCTCCAACAAAGGCTTGCCTTCTAAGGTCTCCACCAATTCCCAATTTTGCTGCAAGCTGGGGACCACACCTTCAACATAAAAATGGTTAGAGGACAAACACTTCAAGTCCCAACTGCAACACAAGCTAATTAACATATGCATTACACTTCATATACTTATCACTTTGTTTTTGAGGTGACAACACTTAAAATCTAGTCCCTTAGTGATGTTCAAGCGTACAATACTTTTCTGTTATTATAGTTCAAATCAAGCACCCTATCAGAAGCTCCCCAAGAGGTCACATGGACTTTTCATTACCAGAATGTGGATGACACATCTTTATGGAATTTGTCCAGCCACATTATAATGATGTTGCTGTTAATTTTAAATGTTCTTGAAAATGGCATTTCTTTGTAAGAAACATCAAAAATCAAGAGTAAAAGTAGTATAAGCAAGTAACAATATACTCACATCAGGGGAATGCAATATGAAAGGTGGTAAAACAGTAATACAAAAAATGTCCAATTTATTAGCACAAAAGAGTGCATTGGAGCCCAGTATGATGATACATGCTTGTAATCCCAGCACTATGGCAGGCTGAGGCAGGAGAACGGAAAATTTGAGACCAGGCTGGGACAATTTAGTAATTTAAGGAGACCCTGTCTCAAAATTTTAAAAAATAAATAATTAAACAGGCTAGGAAGGTATATCAGAGCAAAGGTTCAGTTCAATCCCCAGGACTATAAATAAATGTATTTTGTAGAATTTCCATCTAGTAATGGGGTTGGAAGGCCTTACAGAGGAAAGAGAAAGGATCAGTAGAAAGAAGAAAGGGAAAGAAAAGAGACAGAGAGAAGGTTCTTCTAAAAAGAGGGCCAGGGCCAGGAGTCTGTTCCAGAAGACAGTGCAATGAAGAGTGAAAGCCAGCCAGCTTTTAGTACAGTGGAGAGGTAAAGATGATTGAAATTACGGTCAGTTTAGTAAGATTTGCTAGTGAAAGAGATATGTTCTGAAAACAGGTTTTATTTCATCAGAGGAACAGAATTTTCTCTTAAATTTAGAAATATATGGTTTCATTTTCCATGGAAGTGACATCCATGAAATCACACACAAACTGGAATCTAAAAATGAGAATCATAGCTAAGAACAAGAATGTATCCTTTTTGCAAAAGGAATCCTCAGTCAGAGTTGATAAATAGGCTCATTGAGTCTGAAGTACTGGATTTCAGGCTGGAGTACCTATAGAAGTAGAGAACATGAACTTCTTACAGGGGGGACTCAGGTGAAGCCAGAAGCTATTTCTCTACTGGGGGCAGGATATCCTATTGGTTGTAAAGCTTACTCTTAAAAACGGCTTTTAGGATGTGACTGACACCTTGCCCTTTGAAAATCAGTTATTTTATTAAGGGCATTAATGATAGAAGCCATTCCCAGAGCCGCTTAGAAAAGCAACAATATTTACAGCTGCCAGGTCACATTTGTTGAGTGCCTACTGTCAAGGACTGTACTAGGTGCTCTACAAGTTTTATATTATATGGTACTTATAATTTATTGCCCCTGGTTTGTGGATAAAGCAAGCAAAACCTAGAACGGTTAAATAACTTACCAAGGTTGCATGATACAAAGGGTAGAAAAATGTCTAATTCCAGAACCCACCATGTTAATCACCATATTATGATGAAGTTGATGTCTATAGAGTTTGTCTCACAAGGGTAGAGTTTGGTAAATATTTACTGCATAGATCAAGTGTTAACAGAAAGTTCAAAAGTCTGCAAGAGAAGGAAAGGAATCAGAGGTGGTAAAGGCAGAACAAGTCAAGCTATCCCTTTGTCTGATAGTCACATGCATGAAATCAAGCATAAACTGGAATCTAAAAATGCAGATTGCTACACCACCTAATACTTCCCAACATGATAAATTCCAGTTAAATATTTCTCACATCCAAGTAGTCATTCATTTCTTCCACACTTTCCTAACAGTAAAAATATACATAAAATTCTTTTTTCTTCATTTGTCTGAAGGCGGAAGATGAACGCATCACAGTTTCAGATATGAAATCCCTTTTTCCAAATGCTTGCATCATATCTAGAGGAAGAACTAATCTTTCTGTACCTAATAATTGAGACTGTGATTTAAAAGGATTTAGAGACCAATGAAGATATCTGTTCTCACCATGTATGTTCATACTTTAATCTTGTCCCAAATCTATTTTTGAAGGTATTGTCAAATCCATTTTCCTCTCCTGTGTTTCCACAGGGAAGCAGTTGGTGCTAACACACTTCCTTCCCC